GGAGCTGTGGGCCCGCCCCGAGCCTGACCTCTCGCTGCCACCTCCTCACGCGGCCCAGCGCCGCCGGGGCTCCGGCGCGATCGCCCTTCTCGGGTGTCTTCGGCGTGGCTGAAAGCTGGGCAATGCTCCGCAAAAGCTAGCTGCTGCTTGGTTTTCGTGTTTCCACGGTCTTCTGTTGCATTCGAGGTAATACGTGACAGGGCAGCTCCGTTATCGCCTTCCCAGCTACCTGCACCCCATAAGCAGCACCGACAGGATGAAGCTACGCTGAAGCGTACAGCAGCCAGCAAATGTTAAATAACTGTTTTTCTAGCCTTCACCTCAATTCAGAAAAAGAAAAGACTAAAGTTGAGGGGGAGGGTTATCGCCTGCTGTTCCCGTATCTTTGGGAGCCTGGTGGTTCAACAGTTAGGGTATTCAGTCATGCCCCTCAAAGTTTTTGTTACACTTGCAGGTTTGATGTTTTTACATTAGTATGTTAAAATTCCTGTCACTCCCACCTAGAAATGTTAATAGCATAATGTAAACTAACTGCACTATTATATTTCTTGTAAAATACGTTTTTAAAGAAATAAAGCAGCTAGAAATACTCATTTCAACTCCAAAGTTCCTTCAGGATACAGCTCTTAGGCTGAAACTTTGCATCAGAATGTAAAGGTCTTGTATTCCTACAAAATGTTTATATCTGAATCATTTACCTCCAGACTTAAAAAAAGAGGAAAATGATAATGACAATACTGCTATTAACAGGAGTTTGGATTTTTTTTTTGTACCGCAAAATGTCTACAGGAGAAAAGTGTAGCAAAGTCTCAACAGAAAACTCTTTTTGAAGATTACGGTTTAAAATAGCCTGAAGTACAGCTGCCAACAAATATTAAAGAACTGTACTGGAACTGTAATGCTTTCACATGGGTAGCAATGAGTGCATCTGTGAGGCTGGCTCTGGGCCCAATATAACAGAATTTTTATTTTATGTTTGTAATTCAGTCTTGAACTCAGTTTGCTGCACCTAAGTAGTGAGGAAAAAACACTGGAGGAGAGGCAGTTTTAATAAGACTTTTGTCTATACTCCTCTTTCAGGGAAATTAACCTAAAAGCAGTTTGGAGGAAACTTTTTTAAAGTTACTTTTACAGCCATTTAGATGTTAATACCCTACAGCTGAAGGCCCAGTGGTCTTACCTTCTGGTGGCTTCTTGACCTTCCCTACAGATCAGATAGCTCACGGTATCCCAGTTGCCAAGTAAGCTTGTCTACAGTCTCACTAGTGCTTGATTTATTCAGCTTAATTGTTGAGGCTAATTTATTACAGGTTCTGTGAAACTTGAAAATGGAGTTCCAGATTCATAAAAGACCACACATGCTCTAGATAAGCAATATGTTTTTATTACAGATTTCTAAGTGACATGATTGCTGCACACACCTTAAATGTAGAGTGTAAAAACTGAAACATCTTCTGAAAGGCCACGTAGAATAACAAATTACATATATCTATTCTGAGGAAAATCTGCACAGTTAGGAGATAACACAGGGAAGTTGTGTGATATCATAAACTTAACAACAGTAAAGAGGTACATCCTCACCTTAATCATTTGAAATGTGGTTCCTCTTAGTAATCTTGGTGGTTAATCTTCTCCTATGACAAAGTCCACAGGTGACAAGCTTAGGATAAAATTTCTTTTCTGAATTTTAAAAACAAATCTCTCCCACTTCATACTAACCATGATCTCCTCAGCTTAAATTTCTCACATTTACCATTTGAAGTGGGAGGCTGCAAGTACGACCACTCCAAGTCATTTACTGTCTTCTCTTGTTGACAACTTATCTCTATGATTATCAGGGGCAGATCTCCAATGAGAGCTCCTGGATAAAACAGAGTAACACAACTCTGGACTATGCTATTTTTCACGTGTAAACTGAGGAAATACAAGGGGTTTAATCGCTTCTAATCTGTTTAGGCTCCACTTTTCCCACCTGGCCCAGGAGAACATCTTCCCACCCTAAAGAGGGAGAAGCCATCTCAAAGCATCCTAGCAGAGAGGGGCATATCTTGTAATGGACAGAGACGCCATGAAGACAGCCCCTAAATGAAGAAGAGTATAATCCATATTTGTACAAAACACTGTACTTCTCACTGTACTTGATTTCACAAGTCTTTCATATAAATATTTATAACTTTGTGTATTCACTAATACACGCAAGTTAAGTAAGTCACTGAGAAATCTATTCCGGTAATAGACCAGCTGTACTGTTTCTTCGTTGTTGTTTTGCACTTTTCTTAAATGAATTGATTTAATGTAAAACTGTTGTGAGATTTAAATGACCAGAAGGATCTGTTTGGTAAATGGTTTTTCTACCTGTTTTCCACTGGAAGCCCTACATGTCACGACAGGCTGCAGTGGAAGCTTTCGCATTATTGCAACACAAAGGATTTTGATTTCAGGTGATAAATGCTGATAGAGGTAATTGCTCCAGATAGCTTTATATTTTTGCTGGGGTAAAAAGTAAAGACAGTAAAATAACCTCAACATTTTGATTCTAGATTACTCACATAAAGCAAAAGAGGATGGATGCTTATTAAACTATTCTACAACTAAGATTTCCACCACTGGAACACACAGTAGTTAGACTTTAAGTGTAATGCACACTAACACGAAATTAAAGCAATACTGGAATGGGTATATGAATTGTAGGCAAACAAAAATAAACTCATAATATAAAGTCTATATGGTCAAAATATAACTAGAAGTGGTTTAAATCCTGAATATTGATAGTGGGGGAACATCACTGAACTCTGATTATCATCTCTCCACACAGATATACTCTGAGTGTATAGTTACTCAGTCTTTAACAGTGAGACCAGTTATCCTCAGGGTACTCGGCCCCCTGAGCTGGAAGCGAGCACGATGAGCTGGGACGGCGAGCACGATGAACCCCCCATAATCCAAGAGGAAGCGGTCAACGACCTGCTATGCCACCTGGATGCTCACAAGTCTATGGAGCCGGATGGGATCCACCCGAGTGTGCTGAGGGAGCTGGCGGAGGAGCTCGCCAAGCCGCTCTCCATCATTTATCAGCAGTCCTGGTTAATGGGGGAGGTCCCGGACGGCTGGAGGCTGGCCAATGTGACGCCCATCTACAAGAAGGGCTGGAAGGAGGATCCGGGGAACTACAGGCCTGTCAGCCTGACCTCGGTGCCGGGGAAGATTATGGAGC